AATAAGAAGCAGTCTAGGTGCAACAAAACAAGAATGAGAATGATATTTCAACATCCTTCTCAGGTGATGTGGCTAATGACTATTGCACCATATTATTTAAATTATAAATTATAAATAAACCTACAAGTGGGGATTTGATAGCTAAGAGGCTCCCGGCCAAGCAGTTGCATTGCTGACATCACCAGCCTCACCCACCACCTCCACCCCGCACACTGTGGAAGTCTGCAGAGTGCTGGGCCAATGCAGTTCTTCAGGTTTCCTGCTTCAGAGGGGACAGAGCTCTTAGTTGTACAGTTCCATCATGAGTCCCATGCATTTCCTTTTAATTAATACCCTCTTACGTGACCCTGTCTCATGGACTTAAGCCAAGTCTCTGAAACTGAGAATCTAAGTTCTTCAGATTTTCAGTGTGCAACTTGTTACTCGATAACTCAGATGTCACTGCAATTAAAATCTCATAGAATGAATATCTCATAACTCCACTGGCCATATTTTATTTAGGTCCTATCACTATCATGCTAATTTATTTTAGTGTTAATTGATACGAAAATAATCTTGATGTTAGCTTCCCACATGTCTCTGATGTATCTAATATTCTTCCTTTTTGTTATCTTTAGTGTTCTTCATTTTTCTACAGTAACTATGTTCCAAGTAAAACTGATATTAAAAATAAAGTTCATTGTATCACTAGAATAGCTATTAATTGGTGATTACTTTTAAAGTTTCATAGAATGGGCGCTCTGGGTGCCCTGGACATGTTGCTGCTGGACTGCATGATGGATGCATTCTCTATAGCATTGCTTTGCCTCTCCCAACCTGTCCCATCTGGTTCGCACCTCTTTCTACCGCCCCATCCTCCACCTCTTTCTCGCTACTTCCCACTCCTCCTAGTTTTGATCATAAATCTCGAGTACTGGAAATAAAACCAATAGTAAAAGTGAAGTTTGTTTATACCACCAGAGTCTTCCCTGCTAGCTCATTTCCTATGATAGTTTTGCAGGTGTAATGAATTAGCTGGTTTCTGTGGTAGTCAAAGTATATTGCAGATACTAGTTTGTGTTTGAGATAATCTTCACACACTGACTCCCTCTCGGTCACCCCCATTGCCTGGCCCCCCACTTTCTCTGTCCATTGCCTGCCTACCTTTCCCACTTTCCCCTCCCTCCCAACCCCGATTTCCCCCTTCAATTCCCCACGCTGTCCCATCCTCCGCAGACCTATCAATGAATCTCCAGTATACCAAGCAAAACTGGTATATAAAGGCTCATTTTATTTTGTCTATTAGCAAGTAATCTTATTTTATGTGTTACCATTTCACAGCTAGAATGTGTTATTTAATTTCTAGGGCTATTCTGGGTGTATAGGTGATATTGGCTTTTGTGACTGATGTGCTCTTTCCACACCATCCTCCACCCCAAATCACCCCTATTCCTATACTCTCTTCCCATCCCCACTCATTATTTCTAGACCCCTCCCCAACTCCCTCCTTTTACACTCTAGTTAATAATTTTCAAGTATTCCAAGTAATACTGATGTAAAAATAGAGGTTACATTCCTGGAGTTTTCATCAGTTGGTGACTTTATTTTATCGTTTTGCAGCTGGATTGTATTAATTAATTTTCTGGCATTACCTCAGTATATCATTGGTTCCAAGCAGTGTGATGGTTCTTCATAAGCCACCCCTCTTCTCAAATTTATGAGATTTCCACCACCCCTACCCTCTCCTCCATCTCCCTTGCCCCTATCACCTCTTACAGTCTCATTTCCCCTACTCTGTCCATGGTTCCATTCTCCCCATTCTAATTAATAAATCTCAACTATTCCAGTAATATTAAAATAAAGTTCACTACATCACTGGAATCAGTACTAATTCATGGCTTTATTATATATGTTAATGTTTTGTAGGTGGAACTGTTTAGATTGCTTCTTGGGTATTCTGAGCAGTTGATACTAGCTTGTGTGATCATGTGATCTCTATATGTCACTTCCATGTCAACCAAATTCAACCCCACCCATCCTCTCCTCCCATCCCCTGCCCTCCCCACTCCTTCACTTTCTACTCTTCCATTGATCTTCCTACCCTTCCTTACCACAAAAATTAATAAATCTTAAATATGCCAAGTACAAGCGATACAAAAATATAGTTGGCTATAATATGTTTCCAGTTGCTATTGATTAGTGGCTTTTTATAGATAAATGTTCCACATCTGGGATATGTTAGCTAACTTCCTGGAATCAGTGCATCGTTGCTGCTGGATTATGTGATTCATGTGTTCTTTATATGGCAGCCCACAATCATAGTCACCCCCTCAACCACCCTCCCCAACATCTCCGCCCATTAACCCACCTTCACTTTCGTCCCCCACCCCTCCCTCCCTACTGTTACCTCCTCCCCTCTCCAATTACAAATCTCAAAGAATTTTAAATAATATTGATATTAAAAATAAAGTCTGTTATATTATGTCACTGGCATGTCAATATTAAGTGATGGCTTCATTATTATACAGGTTAATGTCTTGCAGCTGGACTGTCTTGGTTGATTTATTGTATTCTGTGTATATAACTGATGTTGTGTGCTTGATGTGTTCCTCACATATCAGTCCCATCCCAAACTCGCCTGTATTACACACTCCACTCACGCTCCATCTCCTTTGTTCCTATACGCTGCCCCCCCCACGCCTAACAAAGCTCAAGTATTCAAAGTAAAATTGATATTAAAAGTAAAATTTATTACATCACCAAGTGACTATTAATAGGCACTATTATTATTATTATGTACGCTGTTTGGCAACTGGAATAAGGCAGTGGATTTCTGCGTGTATTCTTGATACTGGGCTGTGATAGATGTGTTCTTTACACAGCACCCACCTCTACCCTCTCTATCCTTTCCTCCTAACCTCCACTCTATCCCTTCTTTTGCTCAGCCCACTCTCCCTCCTCACTGCTATTTATACATATCTACTATTCTAATATATATATATATATACATATATATATATATGTTGTTATGTCCGTAGAGTCACTATTAATTGATTTTTAATTATTATATATATAGTAATGCTTTTAAGCTGGAATGTATTGGTTCATTTCCTGGGGTATACTGGATATATCACTGATAATGCAGTGTGATCATATACCAATACCAATCCCAGCCTCCCAGTCTCCTTCCACTCCAATTAATAGATCTCAAGTGTTCTAAGTAATACTGATACTAGAAATAAAGCTTGTCAGGTCAGCAGTGTCACCATTAATTGGTTTTATTATGTCTATATCTATCTATCTATCTATCTATCTATCTATGCTTAAAATTCTGCAGCTGAAGTGAATTAGTTGATTTGCTGGGGTATTCTGGGCATGTAATTGATATTGGGTTGTGTAACTGATGTGATCTTTGTATGCCATCCTCATCCTAAACTTATCCCATTCTGACTGCTGCCATCCCCCACATTTCTTTCACATTCACCCCATTCCTCCAATCACCCCCTACTTTTCCCACAGTCCCTCCTCCCCCACTCCAATTAATAGGCCTTAGTTAATTCTAAGTGATATTAATATTAGAAATCAAGCTTACTGTGCATTCAATCCACTATTAATTGGTTGTTTGGTTATGCATGTTAATGTTTTGCCAGTGGAATATATTAGCCCATCCTTGGGGTTCTGCAGTTAAATATATGATCTGATGTCACAATGGGAAGTATTTCTTATACAGCATAGTGTCCCTCATCCCAGTCACCCCTCTCCCACCTTCCCCACTCCTTCCTAACCCTTCCTCTCTTTTCCCTACCCACATCTTTCTCTTCACTCTTCCCTCCCTCTCCCTGCCCCTTCTTCTTAATAAATCTTAAGTATTCCAAGTCATACTGAGATTGGTTAAATCACTGTTAATTGTGGCTTTATTTCATGTTATTTTTGCAGGTAGAATAAACTGGTTGATTTCCTGGGTATCCTGGGTGTATCATTGAACTGTGGTGTAACTGATGTGTGCTTTAGATACCACTCCATTCCAAACTCCCTCCACTTTACCCAATTCCCCTTTCTACCACCTACCTTCCCCCACTCTACCCAATGGCCCCCTTCCACAGGCCTATTAATACTGTATATTCCCAGTAATGCTGATATTAAAAGATTTTTTATGCCACCGTAGTCACTAGTAAGTGGTTGCTTTCTTACATGTGTGAATGTCTTGCAGCTGGAATGAACTGGTTGCTTTCCTGGGGTATTCTGGGTGTAACATTGATAATGGGTTCTGTGATTGATGTACTGTATTCATAACACATCACCTCCACCCCAATCCCACCCTTCCACACTCTTCCCCTCTTCACCCTCCACAATCTCCTTCTTACTCCCCCACTATCCCACCTCCCCCACTTTTATTAATAAATTTCCAGTAGCCTGCCAAGTTGTATTTATATTACATTTGTTGTGTCACCTTTGATTTCTTTCACGTTAACGTTCTGTGTTGATGAGTTGTGACTGATGTGCTACTTATATACCACCCATCCCAAACCTACTCCCACTCTCATCTCCCCACTCCTGCTTCCCAAACTTCACTCCCCAATTCCCTTTTTACTTCCCATGTCAACTTCCCCAACTGTCCGACCTTCCATACTCCTTTGAATAAATCTCCAATAATCCAAGTAATATTTATATTAAAATCTGTCCTCAAAGTCACTATTAATTGGTTGCTTTAATATTATATGCTAATGTGTTGCAACTGAAATACGTAGATTGATTTCCTAAAGGTGTTCTTTATATATGAGTTGTGTGACTCACGTGTTGTTTATACATCACCCCATCCCCAAATCATCCCACCCTGCCCTTCCCCACTTTCCTCTTCCCCTCCCATCCTCTCCCATCCCCTCCCATCCCTTACTCCTATCTCATGCTCATCCACTCTTCTCATCTCCCACCCTCATCACTCCACCCCTCCTTCACCCTCCTCACCCCACCCCATGCCCTTGATGCTGGTGGACGCTGAAATGACCAGAACCAATTTTCACTAACCACTAAATCTTTATTGAATTGTTATAACATTGATACAACATGAGTAAATACAGATACATAGAGTAAAGAGAATACAGCAATATAGTGTGAAGGGGTAGGGATTGTGGGGAAGGGAGTGCGGGGATAGGGAAAAAGGGAGGGGGTAGGAGGGATACTGACAGGGGCAGAAGTAAGACTCCTGATTCATCACTCTGCTATAACTTCCATGAATATCATCCACCATAATCAAATTCGTTCTAGCAACAATTTCGCAAAGGATACCTAAACATCCTGCAACTTTTAAGGTTTTTTCACAATTTGCTCCCTAGAGTTAATACCTAGGGCCTTTACTCAATTATTCATCTAATTATCTTTGAAGTTTCCATAGGTTTTTATTCATGTCCAATTTGCTCCCAATAGGCTGAACACCCTTCAGCTCCTTCTGAATGTATTTGAAATCTTAAAGGTAACAATTCAAGGATAAAGGGTTACAGGTAAATATGTGTTCACTTAAAAGAGATAACTAATACATAATACTATCCTATCTAAATAACCCCACCCATTTAAGATTACTTAATAGTCCCTCCCGTCCTAAAATACTTATGATTATATACCCCCAATTACTTAAAGTGATAACATAAGAGAAATTAAAACAATGTAGTGTTCCACAGACATATACGACAGTGTTCTACAATCTGAAACAACAAAGAACTTCCAGTCCCATCAAAAGTAACGTAGTTCCCACTGGGCTCTTCTTTTCTCAGGTGGTCTTCCATGATTGCTCAGCTCTTTCCAGAAGGTTCTCTGTTGCCAGTCTTGGAACTAATCTGATATAGGTGTCTGTGGTCGATGACAGCCAGACCATTTCAGGAGCCCAGGAGATACCTGCAAACTTGAACAGAATTCCAGACTACACCATATAGATGTGCTCCTCATATGTTATGCAAGCTCACTGTATTTCTTGACGTGATTTAATCAAACTAATAATCAAGACAAATACCTCCTGGCTCAAACTAAATTGGCCCTTCAAAAGTGATTATCAACTTCCTGTTCTAACATCCTTACCTACTTCTCTCTTCAGGCTCAAGTAGCAACTACGATCTTTTTTCCTACTTGATTTAATCGTTTTGATTTATCTATCTCCTTTCTGCTTTATTTTGCTCCCTTTCTAACATCCTTTCCTGTTTTTATGAAAAAAGGTAATTTTGTTGTAAATGCTAAAAGATATTCTTAAAAGAGCCAATTAACATAAATTGGATCATCCAAAATAAATCATTTGAGAGAAAGGAAACTTATCCAAACATAAATCTGACCCAAAAAAACTAATCAGCTGAAAGAAAGGAAACTTATCCAAATTTCAGTACTATAGACTTAAGATTACTTATCCTTAACATCTACAGGTTATAGATAGTACAGACAAGAAGGCACAGCACACACTGCCAAAAGGTAACCACAAGCTTTAGGAAACAGTCTGATGTGTGGCAGGGACTCAGTGAGCTCAGAGCCCACATCAGCATGCTCTCCCCGATGGTCCTGGTGATGGCCAACTTCTCCAAACTTCTGCTTGCAGCGGTGGCAAATGTCCGTGTGCACAGGCCAGGGCTGCAGGTAGCTGCCCACGGGGGGGCCCTCTGCAGCTCAGAGATCAATGGATGACTATAAAGTTTGACACAGAACCACTTGAATTCAAATAGATGGAGGATGGAGTAAGATTTGAGGTAAACTGAAGTGACTGCTTCACACTTCATGACAGTTCAGAAGCAAAAATGCACCATTTCCACAGTAATTACTCTAAAAAACACACAAGTGATTGACAAGCTTTCTGATTCCACTGAAGAAAGGAAGGAAAAGTTGTTTTAAACTTAATAACCAATTAGGATTCATCTTAGAACTTGTCTATCATTTTGTGTCATTTTTAAAGGCCCAATTGATAGCACTGATATTTTAGAATATTAAAATGTAAGACTGAGGATGAACGAGACAAACTATTTCACAAACACTCCAGTTCTGACAAGCCTGTCATTCACAGTGTGTAAGACGCTCACAGTAGGGAAATAATCTACGTTATCTCTACTTAGTTTCAAAGAGAACTGGATAGTACTTCATAATTCAATGGAAATGTCTGAAAGCATAGTCACCACTTTAAAACACTGGTAAAAGATGCTACTACAGCTAAAACTTGGAAGTATTTAAACATGCAAGGTAAAGAGGGGTAGTAATGAGGGTGTAAGAGATGAGGCTGATGGAAAAAGAAACTTCACCGTAAAGACTCCTCTTCATGAAAGGCAATTAGAAATGTAAATCATGTGGTTTCCTACTGCTCACACTGATTTGGCAATTGTGTAGAAACACGTGCTTCCGCAAGCCCACTTCTTTCCTCTCCGTGCATGGCAGCAACATAGAGTCTCAGCAACCAGGCAAGAAGGTGACACTGATCCTGCAGCAGGGTTAATGGCAGTAGTAAAGAATCAAACAGAAAGAGAGGTTAGACAAATGGCTCAAGGTAGTAGCAAGGGACCAGGCTAAGAGAAGTCAGGCAGTCCCAGGTTAGCACAAAGCATCCAGAGGACACCAGAGGTGTCACTGGACTGAGTCATTGGAGTTGGTTTCAGAGGCCTTTCATCCAGTTTCAGGTCAGTCTCTGATCACTTAGATGTGTACATTCTCAAGACAGTACTCAGTGCTCTGATTCCTCCTATGCACAGGTTTGGATGATAATTCTCTCCCCTCTCTATGCATCCTAATGCTTCACCTGATGAGGGGATGGAATGCCCAGATGCATATGGTGGAAAAGTGATGTGGACAGATGCTTTAAAACTTCAATTGACAGCACTCATGAAAATTCTTTCTGAAGAACCAGAACCTGTTAAGAATTGGGTACAAGATTCAGCAGTCCTTTTGATTTGCTATCCTTAGCCCTCAGACATGATCCAGAGGTTGTCACAGTATCTGACAAAGACCTAACATGCCTGGAGCTACCAGCATTCTCTGGTTGCCAGGTTAACACTGAATGGGAGCCATTACTGGCATGGTGATGGTAAGATGTTGTGTCAAAGCCGAAGTTCTTGGGTACCTGTGATTTGCACCAGGATGTGAAGGCACACTCTTTACCATGCAAGTCCGTCTGCACTTCCTTCTCAGGCCTGAGATGTTCCATGTTGGGGGGAGAGGGGTTGCCTGCTCCTAGGAGAACCAGTCCAGTTGCTGCTCTTTGAGAATTAAAGAACCATGAAAGTGGAGTCTGAAGATGGTGAAGTTCCTGTGGGTGCAGCAAGGAGATCACGGAAGCCTTTCCATACTGCACCAGTTAATTGTGGCTTCCTTTATAAGGCGTCGGTCTCTAATAATGCAGAGGACCGAAACTGCAACAAAGGTCATGTCCTCCTTCTGCTTGTCTCCCCCTCCATATAGAAATCAGCATTTCCTGTGTGTGCATCAGCTTCTCTGTAAAAAAAATCTGGCAGCCTATAATTTAGATGGTGGGTTCCCCAGGTAAAACCCAGGCAACGGTAAACGTATTTATTGGCAGTCAAGGCTGAACACTGAGAGAGTCTGTGGGCATTCTGTTGTTTCCAGAATTGCTGAGGGTCTTCTGTTTTACAATGTGTGCCAGTTCAGGGTGGCCCTGACCTTCAGTGGCCTTTCAGAGATGTGCATCAGGTGGCCTGAAGATACAGGAGCTCAGTTTAGCCCACAGTCACTGATTGAGAAGCTGCACAGGAATAAACTTCAAGGGTGGAGACCCTGAAGGACATGACAGGTATTTACAAGGTACTGCAGGAGGGCGGTGGAGGAGGGGGTGGGGGTGGCGGTGGTGGTTGTGGGGGTGGATACTGGGGTACTGGAGGCTGGCGGTACCAGTGTGGATTCCAAGTGATCACAACAGGTACAAAGAGAACTCTTCCTTGACCATCTCGTCCCACCGGGTACCATGCAAATCCCATTGGGTAGGTGGGATAGATGGGATAGGTGGGGTGCGTGGGGTGGGTGGGGTGGGTGGGGTAGGTGTGGTGGGTGGGGTAGGTGGCATGGACAGGGAAGGAGGGGTATCCAGGAACTTCAGGAACGAATTCCATGTAGGTTGCCAGGTGTGCTTGGTCATCTAAATTTGGAATAGTCAGGCAAGGATACTGATGCTGGATGGTCAAATTGTTTGGGCCTCGGCAAGCATAAGACACCTGTAGCTTCCACCCCCTCTTCACCTGGAGAACCTGAGCTCCGTTTGGTGCGATGGTTGGGGTGATCAGCCCATCCTTCACGTTTCTGGCCACAAATTCGCGGAGAGCAGCCATCTCGTGTTCGGACAGTGGATACAGGTGTCCGCTGGGAATGCTGTGTGCTCCAGGGATCATCTCAATGTGTGGGTCGATCAGCCGATGATCCGGGTAGACGTGCCCATCTACTGGAGTGTACACATTATGCACAAAGTAATATCTCACTGGTTGGTAAGGTTGGTAAACTCTGTAACCGCCGACAGGGTAATAAAGTGCCGGGTGCGGTGCTGGTGGCAGACACTGAAGTACTGGAGAATACATCCGGCAGTGGTATCGGCAGTAGTCGGAGTCGAAGACGATGGAGCGGGTGCTCCAGGTGATGTTGGGGTCATGGGTGGTCAGCCAGCGAACCCCCAGGACAATGGGGAAGAACGGAGACTGAGTGACATCGAAGGACAGCACCTCGCGGTGATCTCCCAGGTCAACAATCAGCTCGTGTGTTTCGTGGACGATAGGGCCCGATGCTATGGGGCGCCCATCAATCGCTTCCACCAGGATTGGCCAGTCCTTGATTCTCAGAGGAATTCTGTTTTGGGCAACATATTCGTGATCGATAAAGTTGCCAGAAGCACCTGAATCGATCATGGCTCGGACGAACAGGGTCTGTCTGCCCGGGAGATGGATCTGGAGCATCACTTGCAAATGCGGTGACAAAAAATCTTCTTGGGACCTTATGATTTCCGGCCCGGTCGCTGATGGTCCCTCTACAGCGGGGCCGGGGAGTTTCCCGCCGGTGAAGACTTGGAGGCCTTGGCAGGACAGTTGTCGGCGTAGTGTCCTCCGTTCCCACAGTAGAGGCAGAGGTTCAGCTTGCGGCGTCTTTCCTTCTCCTCTTGGGTGAGGCGCATGCGGGCACCTCCCACGGGCTCGGTGGGATCCGCCTGGTGGTGTTGAGCCTGCACCAGTGCCCTGGAAGGGGAGCGCGGCTTGCGTGCAGCAGCAGCTCTGATCAGCCTCCTCTCGATGTGAATGCACTGGCCGATCAGGGCAGACAGCGACTTGGCAACTTCGACGTGGCACAGCTCCTCCTGGATGTGGCGACTGAGGCCCTCGTGGTACTGGTCAATCAGCGCAGGCTCGTTCCAATCCAGGTCCTGGGCAATCATCTGGAAAGCATTGGAATAGTCAATGACGGACCCCAAGCCCTGGCGAAGACGTCTGATCTTGCGTTTGGCAGCCTCACGCCTCTGGGGGTCTTCGAAGACATGCTTCACTTCCATCATGAAGGCTGGGTAATTGTGCATCAGGTAATGGGATCGCTCCAGCTTCGCAGAGGCCCAGCGGGCAGCACGGCCGGTCATCATGCTTGTCACGAAGCAGACACGGACGCGGTCCACTGAGAAATCTCTGGTGCTCTTCTCCATGAAGATCTGGCACTGGGCCATAAACGCAGCCAGCATGTCTGGGTTGCCATCGAACTTCTCTGGAAGCTCTTCCAGGCAATCCTCCTGCTCCTGCTCCTGCTCCTGCTCCTGCTCCTGCTCCTGCTCCTGTTCCTGCTCCTGCTCCTGCTCCTGTTCCTCCTCCTCTTCCTCCTCTTCCTCCTCCTCCTCCTCCTCCTCAATTGGGAAGGCTGGGACAGTGGCTGCTGCGGCACCCTGCAGCTCGATGTCATCCTCCTCATCCTCAGAGATGGGTTCCACCTGCTCGCGGAGAGTGCTGTTCTCCTCCGAGAGTTTCTGCACCTGGTTCTGCAGGTTGCTGTTCTCCGCGGACTGCCGCATGACCTTCTCTCTTAAGTTGTTGATCTCTTCGGAGAGCTCATTCCGCCTGCGTTCGGTCATGTTGGGCACGCAGGGGCTCTTGTGGCCACTGGGTTTGGAGTTGTTGTTGTTGTTGTTGTTGGGGGGAGGGGGAGGGGGAGGTGGGGGACAGCCGGCGAGGCCCATGGGAACTGTTGGGGTGGGAGGTGACCTCCCAGGAGTTGGCGTGGCTTGGCTCCTCTGGGGTTGGAGGCCTGGATCCGGGCCCCCTCTTCCACCCCTCCTCCTCTTTGTTTTCAAAACCCGCTTGTGTCTGTAAATGAACATAAGAGTACACATTCAACATAGGCATTCAAAGCAGCACAGTGCAAAGAACAGGTGATACTTAAAATATACTCTTTCTCTACTGGTTCATATTAATAATTAGTGACCAAAGAAAATATTCCCTCAAAACAAACGAGAATAAAGTTATCAATCAGGACAGTAGACAATAAACTCATCAGTTTTAGATATCCAAGTTATCTATCCTCCTCAAAAGTCACCTGTTCATTATAATTCAACAATACATTAACTTTGTCACCAGCATGTTTAGCTTTACAGACCATAAAATAATGCTGAGACATGGCAAACAAGTTTTGTATCAAGGGAACAGCAAAAAAACTTCCAGCATAAAGATAGATACCAAACAAATTAGGCAAAATTCATCAAAATGATAACTTTTACTCTTAGAGAAGTTAGGCAAAAAAATAGTCAATATTCCGACCAATAATGTGCCACAAAAAGGGGGCTATTAAAAGCACAATCCCTACATTCATCAGTCCTGTAAAAGGGAATGCACTGTGGCCACCTGTCACAACTCAAGCCTACCTCTACAAAAAAGTAACTAATCACCTAATCCAACAACACCAGCACCACAAAAATCGCAAGACTAATTACTAATTACTTTTTAGTAATTACTGAAATTACTAATTACTTTTCTGATCATAATTTAACTTTCAGAAGACAATTCTCTATGGTATAGAAATGAACAACACTGAACAACATCATGTATCTGTCAGTCTCACCCTCATTATGCAGACCCTTGAACAAATAGTGAAGCCTCAAAGGGAGAGCTGAGCCATAAAACAGGACTCTTCCCCTAAACATGCCCAGTGATAGGATACCTCAAATTTATTCTGATTTAATTAATGCATATAAATTGCACAGTAAATGTTCAATACCTGTTAACTGATATTAAGAAAGTCAGCAATTAGAAAACAGAAAAATAACTTTCTGTATAAATAGGGTGGGGCTGCAACTATAGCAACCAGAGCATCCACTTCCTGTCTAAAAATATTTTAAAATATATTTTTTAAAAAAATCGTGTTAGTCAAAGAAATCCAGGGCTTTATTTGTGCTGTAAGTCACCAGTTGACAATCCCTTGTCTTTAATCAAGATTTGTCAGCAGAGTCCCACCTAAAAGTTTACAGTGGTAGGTGGAATAGGGCTGTACCCCAGATAGGTGTGGAGATAGGGTGGGGTGGAGAGTCAATGCTCTAATTATGAGGGATGACAATAAATCAGAATAAAATATCCGTCTGGGTTCTTTTTGAAAGTAGGGTTAAATGCATTTAGAGTGATGTAATCATTTAAAAATTTTTAATGAACTCAAATCACAAATCTGGAAAATTTAAATACACAGGAATTTAAAAACATAATTATACTACAGTGAAAGGAAGTTTTAAACTTCCTAATTTAAGAGTTTGACACTTTTCAAAAGTATAAAACTTTTTTAAAACTTTTAAATGTTTAACACTTTTCAAAGGTTTTTAAAACTTTTTGGGAGTTCTGAACTTAAAAGTGTTAACCTTTCTAATTTACAAAGTTCAACACAAGTTTAAAGACATAGTATATCAATGTTTAAAAAGTTTAAAATATATTTGGGTAATTAAAAAGTTTAATTTAAAACCTTTAAATAAACACAAGCTTAAAATACAATACACCTTGCTTCTCTCTGACCTGTAAAGGCAAAAAAGGGTACTCAGTAAATTACCTAAAGCCAAAGCAGTAAACATTTGTTAATTAGAGAGTTAGGTGGATAATGGCTAATATAAACCAATGGGGTAAAAGAAAAATTTAAAAAAGAAGTGTTAATCAAACATGATGACTGTGCCTTCAGCCTTTCATAACACCCCTCTTTCTCCTCAGGCCCTCACTGTCTTAGCTCAACACTCACAGCAATTGTCCCTCTGTCCTGTCCTGATGATGAGTCCTTAGGAGGAGTGGCCACACAGCAAGCAAGGTCCCTGAAGGACAGGGATTAGTGTGCCATTTTAATAATTTTAACCCTGCTACTTAATTGTTTTAGTCATTTCTGGTATGAAAACAATAAATACTTAACATTCAAGATAAAATACTCAAGCTTACAACAATCAGAAGACAATAAACACATCATAACCTATGATATTCAGTCCCACCTCCAACTCTTTAAAGATACTGTATTTTTAATTCAAGGCCTTACATGGCCTTCCAGGTCACCAGCTTAAGACCTCTAGCAATATAAAGTTATGACATAATGAAAATTTTATTTATTAAATGAAGAGTTTCAATGTCCCATTAAAGAACTAATACACATAATTCAGGCGACTAATGTGCCACTTCTGTCATTTAGACAGTAACACTTTTTTAAAAGGAGACAAGAATTCTGAATTGCATTGGCAGTATGGCCTGGTGCAGCTTGACCTAGATCAGGAAGGTGAAACGTGTCAACAGAGACCCTGGGTGGGTTTTATAAAAAAAGTTGGGGGCGAAATCACATTAGGACATCAGCAAGCAATCAGTATATTATTTAGGGAAAACAAAAGAGCAATAAGGGTTAAAATTCAAATAACTTTATTTAAGAAAACAAATACCTTTATTATGCAGGAAGGTAATTTAAAAGTGAGGAGAGGCCAAAGTTAAGATATAGGGCGAGGCTGAAATATATAATTTGGGGATGTATGCCCCTCCCATCCCCAAGAAGTTCAGGTTTTTTTTTTTTTTTTTTTTAAAGACAGTGAGTGGCTGCTCGAACAAATTCAAGGCCTCATTCAGCCTTCCAGGTCACCAGCTTATGACCTCTGACCTTTACAATATCACACTTCAAGTCCTCAAGTTTGCAATATTCAGGAGGGACTCTAAATCCAAAACAGAGTACAGTAGTTGAAATACTTTCAAAGTAATTGGATACTTGACAGGGGGTTAACAGTGCAGCAGGGGCAGCATGAGTTAAAGTGATCAAAAGAGCACTTGGACTTAATTTCATTTATAAAGCTCTGGCTCCTTAAATTCTCCCTTATAGGGGCTTTATTAGAAAGGTAGGGTCAAGAGGTCCCATTCCTGAAAATGGAAAGGTCACACTGCATAAAGCCAAACTGCCTGGGGCAGAGATCATCTTTATATATGACAAACATTTCAGCTTTATTCTATTTAGGAATTAAGTAATTTGACTAATTAGTGACTCTTCACAATGACTTCTAAAAACTTTTATCTCCTACACACACCAATGAGCAAGCAACAGTTGCCAAAAAACACCATATATAAATGTCTCCTTAGGGAATGAAACACCATTAAGCAACAATTAGTTGTCTGAAATTTTCAAATGTCCAAATATTTGGGTTATTAAAAATGCAAATACTATTGATATGCATTTTACCAATATTTTGAACCTCTTTAATATGCAATATAAATTTCCAACGAGGAAGCAGACTTAATTAAAGCTGTAATTATAAGTACATTCTTTCCCATACATTGTATAATTTGGAGGTGGAACAATTAACAGAGCCAAAGCCCCCATTTCTCCCCATAATAAATTCCTGGCTTATGTTTTTAATACATAGAACCAGGTTTTTAAATTTCTTCAGTTAGTAATACTTTTATAAGGTACATCTTAATTATACAGATGTTTATGCCAGCTAAAACGATCTACATTTTGTAATGTAACCACATTATATTACATCACACAAATTTTAAATGCCAATATATACCATTAATAACCTACTTGCCCAAAATTTAAATAATTAGCTTTTTATGAAAAAAGCTAATTACCTGTACTAGCAAATAATTAGCTTTTTATGAAAAAAGCTAATTATTTGGAATAACTTAAATAATTAACTTTTTATGAAAAAAGCTAATTATTTGGAATAACAAATAATTAGCTTTTTATGAAAAAAGCTAATTACTTGGAATATTTAAACAATTAGCTTTTTATGAAAAAAGCTAATTATTTGGAATAATTTAAATTAATATTGGTTTTATAATTACAGCTTACATTATTGGAGTTCAAAAATACGTACTTTTCTTTAACAGAAACTTTTAGATGTGAGTGAGATAAGGCAGCAACACAATCCAGGACATCAAAGCACCATAGGAAACAGGAACAAGAAAATAGAAAAGACCTGCAGACACCAAGCGAGATAACAAATAAACCAGTGGACTCCAGTCATTTAACACAGTTAATGAATGCCCACCATGTGCCACGCACAATTAATTATATGTAGCCAGGCCAGCTAGGCTAATCCCTAGAGTTGCCACGGAAAAGATGCCCAGCTTCATGGGTACGCGCCTCACTCTCGCTCAGAGAACAAGCCAGAAGCACCAAGTCCACCACTTAGAAGTCCTAGAAATACAGTCCCTTGTTTTAGATTCACCAAAGCATCGGATTCCAGTAGGTCCACTGGTGTCTCCCCGAAAAACTGAATGTGAAGACACATATAAAATTTGTTCCTCCCTTATAATAAAGGCATTCGATTAAATTGCCTTACGGCACAAGGCATGTCAGTTTAGAAGTTCCCATCATCACCTACCGCCGGAAATTTCAAATATTGGACCATGTTATTTAATATTGCAAAGCACTTATTAAAAGTGCTTGTGAATGCCAGTTATTATTACCATTTCTGTTACCTGTTCTTATTATTATCCTTAAATTAGACACCAATGGACAAAAAGCAAAAACCGCGCAGCACAGAAACAGCAGAGGGGCGGGGCTGTACAGCCAGGCTCAGACACAGAAGGCTGGAGGTGGGGCTAGAGGCGCACAGTGCGCAGGCGCAAAGTCAAAAGTGGGGGTGCTATGCCACTCCAAGGGTGCAGCCTCAGGGAGGAGCCAAACTTTGGAAAGGCAGGGCCTGGGCAGGCTACGTCAGAGGAGGCAGGCTCCGAGAGAGACGGGGGTGTGGGCTAGCCTCCTGGGAGGAGGCTGGCTTTGGGGCAGGACTAAGGAGAGGCGCGCTCTTGGAGGCGCGCTCTTGGAGGCGCGCTGCCGAGGAGGCGCGCTGCGGAGGAGGCGCGCTGCCAGGGAGGCGCGCTCTGAGTCGGCGCTGAGCGCAAAGGAGGGAAGCCATAGCAAGGAGGCGCTAGGCGCTCTCTGAGTTACTGCAGAGCAGGCGCGCTGGCTCGGATGGGCGGGGCAGGTCTGAGACTGGCTGCTACAGGGCTGCAGAGTCTGCACGCCTCTCCCAGGGACCCCCCTCCCCAAACCCCTCCCACCAGCCTCCAACATCCAGATTCATTTCATGCAGCAAGAGCAATAACCCCGACATCACCCCCCCACACACACACTCCGCAAACCACCGTTTCCACAAACTGTTGCTGGCCGCCAATTCGCGCCACCAAGACAACTACACCGCCACTTCAACCAAGCACAACTAGGCAGGCAGCCTGATCTGCCTGCCATCGCCAAAAGTCAGCACCCCTCCACGCCACTGCTGTAGCAGGAATGGTGTGGGCAGAATGTTAAACACTAATTTTTGCCCGGGGCTCCATTTTGTTTAACAGCACCATCATGCAGAGATCCCACCGACAGAATGGGAGCAATTCCAAAAGGTGAAAAGGTGAAAGGTTCCCCTCTAAGAATCAGGGGACCTCCCGTCCCTCGCTAGCTGGTCATTTGTAGCACAAAACACTTCGCAGCTCATCTACCTCTGCAGCAATTCCCATCCCATAGTGCGTCTGAGGTATAAATTGTTCTGCAGCTCATGTACCTCTGCAGTGCATGTGCTGTACAGCGCATGAAGTGCTGTTACAAGGCGAATCCCACCACATTTGTAGCACCTTTGTAGTGATCATCTGCAGCCCGGAATTTATGGCATGTTTAAGGCGCAAGTCTGTCTTTGGTGTGCAGCTCATCCGTTGCTGCAGTTCGTACAGGTTTGCAGTGCATGAAGCACCAGACTCTATCCCAAGGAAGCGCCCATCCATTCGTAGCGCATGAAGCGCGCGTCAATGTACAGTGCGTGAAGCGCCCATCAGTTCACAGCGCTTGAAGCGCGCATCCAAACGTTTATAGCGCACAGAGCATCAGTTTGTAGCGCAACTGAAGCGCTTATCAGTTTGTAGCGCATGGACGCATCAATTAGTTTCTAGCGCATGTCACTTAATAGAGCTCTTGAAGAGCAAACTGGTCTATAGCTCATGTGCGTCTGCAGCTCATGACTGTCCGCAGCTCATGTCCTACCACAGCCTATCTCTGTACCTCAGTCCTGGACACCAAAGCCCTGAAGGCTTGGTTTCCCAGTTTTGGGGTTCAGCCAGTGAAGGCGTGACAAGGTTTGCGTGGAGACATCCAGGGGCGCTAGTCCATCTCCCGCAGCTTCCAAGAAAAACGGGTAAATGAATGTGATCTTAAAAATAAAAAACATCCTCACCGCATACTCACCACACGAGGACTCCTCTGCGAAGACAGGAAGGACGGGGTCCCACACCTGGCCAGGCGTGGGATCCACTGGGGGCCCCGCCGCCCAGGGCGAGCGGGCGCGAGCCGCTCAGTGGACCTTCCGCGAGGCTCGGTGGACCTCTCCGCTGGACTCCGCTGGACGTTGTCAGGTTTCTTCGACACACACTAACCGAAGTTGAAGCGCGTGTACCCCGAGCGCAAACTGCGAGCCTTATATAGGCTGAACCGAGGAGGGGGGCGCCAAATCCCAGCGTGCTTCGCGGGGCTAGGGGGCGGAGGGGTGTGCGGGGGCGGGATGGGGGGGGAGGGGATGTGGGGGGGCGGCCACGCTGCACTGGCCCGCCGCTAGAGGGAGCAAGGGATCAAGAAGGGGGGTGTTGCTGGATGCTGATGTTGAACTGGCCAAGCTGGGAGGAAAGAAGAAAAGAAGGGGAGGGGAGAATCGAGGACAGCCGGCCTAAGCAGGCCGAGAATGCAATTGCCCCGGTGGTGGGAGCTGGGAGACCCCTGTGCTTGGACGAGGCAGGGTCGGGGGACACGAAGGATGAGCCCCGCGACCACTGGCACATTCTTACTGACAGGTTAGTGGCCTGCGCGCGATGTGGAGGTCCCGGGGCCACCAGGCCGCCTCCCCTCCCCCTCCCAGGTTCGGGTACCCCGGCGGCGCGCCTTTTGAGCGCTAGCTCCTTTTGGTGCTCCATGGCACCCTTCCTGCAGGACACCCCGCACCCCACTTCCCAGCTCTATTGAGCCCTCCCCTGGCGTGACCCCTGGTCTGTTCTTTTTCTCTGCGCCCCCGCGGGCCCCTCCCTGTTTAGCGGGCGCAAAAATTCGATCTCTGGCTGCTTCTCTCGGCACCTCTTCCCCACGCCCAGCCCCCATGGTGGATTTCTCTCGAACCAGGCAGCCACAACCTGGGGGTCGGTCCCCATTCTTTTGCGCGGGGTGCGGCTTTTCTCCCCGAGCAAAAGAATTACAGCCTGCTCGAGGCTCCTGGGCCTAGATGCTCGTCCAGGGAAACGGGTGTCAATCAGCGCCCTAGTCTACACAAATACATTTTATCTCCTTTTCTTGAATCTGATCAATACAAGATACAAAAATGTGACATTAAAAAGACCCAATTCTTCCCTTTTCTTAAGCGCATTTTTCTGTGGCGGAAATGCTGTTTTCCTTAGATTTTACCGATCCAGGCAAGCTGAGTTCTGAAGTGCTGGGAGCCAAGCAAGGCGTTCAGGTCACGGTCAACCCCAGCCAGGCGCTGCGAACAACACCGACGGCCCCTCCAAGGCTGTTATTTTGAGAAAGCAAAACCAATGGAAAACAGCTGGGGATGCTTCCAGCGTACTTGGCGGGCTCTAAAGGCTCCCTGCGATGGGTTTTTGGTGGTGATTGCAGGGTTTACACAGAGACCTCGCGCTCCCTGCAATATTACATTTTGCTAAATCTTGCAGGATGGATAAGTGCATTTCAGTAGCGGCAAATGCACAAATCCTTTGAGGCAGGTGGGCGAAGTTTTGCCCCCAAACTTTTGCGAGAATTTATACACATAAACACATTTTTTTATGTTAGGAAAAATTGCAGTTAGTTATAAAGCCTTAAAATAGTCATAAAGGGGGATTCTAAATAAAACCCTAACACGGATTTCCCTGTAATCCCCTCAAAGTGTTAGGTGCTAAGAAAACTGAAAATCTATTGCTAATGATAGTGAAAGAAGTTTAAGTTAAAAGGAAAAAATCAAATTGACTACAACTGAGTTACATTTCTGAAACAGATGAAACATATTCATCTTTAAAGATTAAAATCGAGTATATTTCACTCACCTTGCTACGGTTTATTTTATGCTTAGAGAATGAATAAGAATTTGGCCATTGTACAGGACTAAGTGGAAGAGACCCAGCTCAAAAAGCAAGCCTTTCTAGGAATCAGCAAATCAGTTTATTTGCTGAGACCTTACATTTTATTAGAAATAAACTCTTGACCATCAAAAATGTGTAGTATGTATTTCCAACAATGAAACATTTTTCTAGAAAGTTGGGTGAACATAATATTCTTTTATTAAAGTGTTTCTTAATGTAATCTATGAATGTTTACCCCTTCCTTGCAGGTGTAATAATTCCAGGATTTCAGGTATTTGGTAGAGTATAATTATAGTGACTGTCTGGCTGTTAGATACTTAGCAGTTGCTTTTCCGAGTTGTCATAGACAGAGCTTTTTTCCTACAATCAGTGAGGTGAAAAACTAGTATAGATAAAAAGTAAGGAAAATTCAAATTTTAAAATGTATCCAAGACTTTAGAAGTTTTGAATCAGTTTGACCTTTTTTTCATTTCAAAATGTTACCCAGGATTTTTTGAGATTAAGAAATAAAGAAGGCATTATTAGTATTTTTATCACTGTTAAAGCAATTCCTTATCATTGTCCAAAATACAGAGGGAGAAAAAGGTTAAGAAAATCCAGGACACCTGTAACTTCTTAACCTTGCAATTATGCCGGTAAATATTAGAAAATGTGCTTTTGCAGACTTTATTCTTACATAGTATCTAAAGAATATATATATCTATATTTTTTGTAGGGTCCCAGGTATCATTTCTAAAAATTAAAAACAGCATGAAATTAATTTTCTTCAAGTGTTTCCTAAATTTTAAATATAAAATGTTACATTTGCAGAGTGCTCTGTAAAGGATATGCCATAAATTTGATTTGTCTAATAAAAATTTCAAGTGAACAACCTTAGTACATGTATATCTAAATTCAGTAATCAGAACAGAATTTTCTCTGATCTCACTATTGTAATGTACACATAGTTATTATTTTGGTGTATTTCATTGTGTTATAAAATATTCTTCTACATGTAGAAATTTTGCTTAGAATATAATTTTTGAAGGGAAAAAGCAGCATCAATAGGTAATTTAGCTAAAACTTTATTGCTATCTAAAACAACAAAACAATATTAAAAATAACAGAAAACATTAATACTTTAACAAAAACAATCCTTTAAAAGCCAATAAAAACCCCCAATATGTATATCAGCATATAAGAGCTTTAAATACTGTTTTGATATTTACTAAGTGAATTTTGAATTTTCTACAGTTTTCCTCCCCGATGTTGACTGTTTCAATCTATTTTACACCAGGTTAGATGCCAAGTAAAAGAAATGTTAGTATACATTATTGACTTTACTAAATAATAACTGAAGCTTTGTATTTGGTTGTTTTATCCATTTTTATAACAGTTTGCTTTGGATCTATCAAACTGTTGCTTTATCACTTATATTTTTAACTGCTACTATGGTGAAAAAATTATATTTCAAAATGAAATGGAGTTATCAAATAATAACTAGATTTTCTATTTGGACATTTTACCTGTTTTATGACAGTTTGCCACATATGTATGAAATTGATTTATCTCATGTGTTTAGATCAAGTTATAGGGTAGTGGAAAAATTATATATGAAAACAAACTAGAATTTTCATATGTCATAATAGCTAGACTTTTTCTTTGGATATTTTATGCATTTTTAGATGACTGCATGCTATAGATCTAGGAGCCTGCTAATTTACTACCTGTATTTGACTTAATTTCTAGTGTAGTACGCGAATTTATTTCTAAACAAAGTAGCATTTTCAGTTGTCAAATAATAATTGGACTTTATATAGCTTGTTTCACACATTTTTATGACATTTTCCCACAAAGCTAACAGCCGTTGTTATACCTCATGTATTTAGCATAATGTCTAATATGGTGGGGAAATTATATTTCTAAGCAATGTGGAATTTTCACCTGTCTCAAAGACATGGAAAGCAGCAAGGAACAACACCATAAAAACTAGAGGCAAACATACAGAAGTAAAAATAAATATGTCTAGTTTCTAACACTAGTTTTCCATTGATGAAAATTACCCTTTAAAGAAAATACTGAAGCACTGAAGAAATCCTGGCATAAAAAATTCTCAGGTCAAGTATTCAGATTGTTTATGATTTTGATAAGTGTGGAATTTACAGATCATATTTTCTTTAAAATAACCAGCCACTTTCTTTGCTTTTCTACTAGTTGCCAATACTTACGCTACCTCTCCTTTAGAAAAAAAATACTTACCTTCCCATATTTCTGTTCTCAAAACCTAAATGTATATTTTTGTCACTCATTTTACTTCCTATGCTTAGTGTGAAAATGACGGTAGGTATGGTATGGGCTTATGTCTGTTAGAGATTCTTGGGCTGGAAGGAGAGACTTTATACTTTGCTCCAGACCTTCATAGATATATTGACAGGATGACTTTCTCTTTCCATACCATTCTAACCTTTGCAACAGAGACAGACAAATACACACACAATCCAGACACTGTCTAAACTTTAGGATCTAGTTCTCCAATCTGCTGTCTCCCCATTTCCAGAAATATTAAGTCTAAACCAGCAGTGCATAATTTAAAGAAAAACAGAGCCCAGAGTTTCTAGGTATCAACAAGTCATTTCAGATGACTGTTTTTCTGTTTAAGAGTTTGCAAGTTGGTAGCAACAGATAATCTCAGTGCTTTTAAAGCTGTTTAGCACAGACTGCTTTTAAGGTAAATTCTCTCTGTGGAATTCTCAGTGTTTTATTTTTTGAACATTGTAACTGTAGTAAAGACAATATTGAATTAAAACAAAAACCAAACAACACCTTTCCCCCCAGCTCTCCATATCCTGACACTAGAACAAACATTAACAGTGATTCTCTTGCTCTTCTGGACTTTGCTACGTGCACATACATATTTTAGTATTATTGTGATTTTAATATGTGTAGCTCTTTTACCCTTTGTTTTGAAAGATAAGTGAATATTGCTTTCAGTGCACAGTTTTCAAGGCTGCAGGATGCTCTTTGGTGTGAGATGGCTTGTAGCGCAATCAGCAACATTGTGAGCCAGAGCAGGCTGGAACCAGACCCCCAGTGTGGGTTACTGGGTTTGAGTTAGGGAATAACCCTAGCAGGGTCACAAACCTTTGCCCTGGGTATTCTCTTCTTTAACATGTGCATGAGTGATTTTGCAGGTCTAGGAGGCTTACTTTAAAATTCTTGGATAACTGAACAAAAGATAACTGTTACAAACAGAGAACAGAATGTAGAGCTCAACATTGTTTAAATAGGGTACAGTGCTATGCCAAAGGAAAAAGATACTTTACACAGTAAATACATCATAATTCATCGGTGTGAAAGGAAGGAGGGATGCTGTGTGGTGAGTTCTTTAAGAAAAATGT